GGAGCAGCCAGGACTTGAACCAGTGCTGTAGAGTGGTAGGGGTTGTCTAGTGGATCCTGTGCCTGATCATATGGGCTGTGAAAGTACAGGGGGGATAAAGACACTGCAGCTGGGGGTCAGCACTGTGGTGTGGAAGGTTAAGCCTCTGCCTGCAGCGCTGGCATCTGATACACAGAACCCACCCCTATAAATTAACTTTTGAAAGTATTCATCCCACTGGGTACCCTGGGTTCAGTCCAAAGTGTTTACTCATTTGATCTCTAAGTCTTTGTAGGAAAGCAGGGCTGTTTTCCTCTTTTTCCTGTTGAATTTCAAATACCTTAGAAACACGTTGTGACCTGGGAGAGGACTATGGTTCCTTTAATTATTAGTTCCCCAAGATCCTGCATTTGTGATCCAACCCTGGGATCATCATTATTCCACTCAGGATTGATATTTGAAAAAAATATTTTTTTTGGCCACAAGACTCCGTATCTGGGGCCAGCGCTGTGGCGTAGTGGGGAAAGCTACCTCCTGCAGTGCCAGCATTCTTTATGGGCTCTGGTTCAAGTCCTGGCTGCCCCTCTTATGATCCAGCTCTCTGCTGTGGCCTGGGAAAGCTGTAGAAGATGGCCCAAGTCCTTGGGCCCCTGCACCCGGGTGGGAAACTTCTCCAGCAAAAGCACAGTTCCGGCCATTGTGGCCAACTAGAGAGTGAACTAGTGGATGGAAGACCTCTCTCTCTCTCTGCCTCTGCTTCTCTGTAACTCTGCCTCTCACATTAATAAATAAATATTTTTTAAAAAAGACTCCCTACCCAAGAGGATGCTCTTTTTCCCTCCTATTCATTCTCCTTTCCTCCCCTGCAAGAGGAACATTTACAAATCCCACTTCTCCCTGTCCCATGGGTGCTTCCTGGAGAGGGAACATGCTGGGGGTCTGTTTAGAAGAGATAGGGACATTTTCTATATTTTTCTGCATTGTTCTAACACTTTTCTTAAATGTGGGTGAGGATTTAAGGTGGCAGCTGTTTTGGCTCCTTCATGGTCTTCACATCTTAGTTCCTTTCACTGCCCGATTGCCTCTTCATTCTCCTGGTCCTCATTTTGTGGGACATAAGGAGGAGACAGGCCTGAAAGGGAGTCCCAAGGTTTATCCCTAGGATCCTTCTTTTCTTCTCTTGAGAGGGAAGATAGGGGTTGGTTCTTTTTTATTTTTAAGATTTATTTATTTATTTGAAAGAAAGAGTTACAGAGAGAGACAGAGAGAGGTCTTCCATCTACTGGTTCACTCTCGAAGTAGCCATTAATGGCCAAGGCTGCGTCAAGCTGGAGCCAGGAGTGGCAGGGACCCAAGCACTTGGGCCATCTTCTGCTGCTGTTCCCCGGGGCCATTAGTGGGAAGCTGGATCAGAAGTAGAGTGGCCAGGACATAAGGGATGCTGACGTCTCAGGAGGCTGCTGTAGCTGCTAAGCCACCGCGCCAGCCCCAGGGTTGGTACTTTTACCCAAGAGAGAGCATAGTCTGTGAGGACAGAGTTTTTCCATTTACACAGAGAATTAAAGCTTGGCACACCCACTCCTCATCTGAGCAAATCTGGACAAAAGACAGGATTTGAGAATTGGTGTTCTGGGCCAAATAAAACGTCTACTCACTGTCTTTTCTTCCCTGTCCTTAGTCCAAGGCCTGTCTCTCCAAAACCCCACCATTCTCCCCACTGGAGTATCTGGGGGAATGTCAGGGGGAGCCTCTGGCACCCCTTACCTAGGCCTAGAATTCTTATTTCCCATTTTCAACCAGTCCTACCTGTGTCTGAGTCTCCCTCTCACTCACCCCACAGGGCAGGTTTCCCGGAACACCCTGAGGCTCGCTTTGTCTGTCTCTGGTCACTTTCCTTGTGGGGAAACAGAACGATGGGTAGAGACCCCACACTCACTTTGTGTCTAGTCACACACACTTGACCTCCAAAAATACCCAACTACCATGGCAGTACTTAAAGGCCAATTTTCCTACCTTGGTTCATGCATGAGGCTGCTGACTGCTGCGGGGTGTGTGTGTGTGTGTGTGTGTGTAGCCTCTGCTGTTTACCTCAGGCTTTTCTGTGGCTTCTGCAGGAGTCGGTCACCTAGACAAAGCGGGCCGTCTAAAATCAGGCGGGATTCGTGTTCCCCTCTGCCATAGCCCTGCCTCCAGGCAGGCACAGAGATCGCAAACGGGCCCCCAGGTTTGTGGGAAATAGCCTCACCTGTCCATTTAAAGGATGGACTCGGATGTGGGAAGTGCAGCAAAAGCAAGACTTTATTATCAATCTTGCAACATGGGGTGTCTGGTGGGCAGGCGCAGCCAGTGCAGTCACAGCAAGCGACGTATTCCCTAGCACATGAGTCCCTCCCCTGGTTCCTCACTGGCTGAGTACTACAGGGTTACACTAAGTTTCATGATCTCCATCTGCATTAGTTTTCCTAATTAACCACCCCAACGTTCTATTTGCTCAACACCTTGTTTGCTTCGGGAATTTCCAGGTGCAGGTACCTTGCGGTTTGTAACCTGGCTGTTACGCTAGCTAGTAACTTGTCACTCTCCACATCATCTGCAAGCTGTTATGCTGCCTAGTTGTCAGCAATTATCTACTCACAGCTGAACACCTTGCTTCGAAAATGAACCAAAAGAACTGTAGAGCTCCTCACAGTATCACGTTCAGCTGTTAGACTCCTCTTGCCAGATGGCTCTATTCTTTCTGACAATGCCCCGTTGTGAGCAGTTAGATGGGTCAACAGGCAGTCAGGTGAGGCCCTGTTAGAATGGTAAAAAGGGACAAGGTCCCAGCAAAAGTAAAAAGAAAATGCTTGCTCCCTCCTGGGGTGGCCGCTGGCAGCACATCGCCTCCTTATACCCTGTGTGTTTGCTAAGGTAGGGCAGTGCAGCCTCCCCGATCCCCTGTGACAAACAACGAGACCACTGCTTGCTGATTGGACCATTTGTATCCCTGGCTCCCTGACTGGCTGTTTTCTCTACCTGCTGATTGGTGGTCATTTCTATCTCTGTCTCCCTGAGTGGCTAATAACCAGCACCTGCAAAGACCAATCAAAAGTGTGTATTTCCATGACCGTTTCTGCCCCTATTGATTGGACATAGTTTTCTTAAGCTAGCCAATCAGAAGCAACACACCGTGTTTAGCATCTTTTGTGTGATATGAGAGCCCTCACTTACAAGCTGCCCTGGCAACCCCCCCTTGGAGGCCCCTCCTGACAGCCTCATCGGGAGGCTCCCTGCCTTCAGTAACACTTCTGCTTTGCCACTGTCATTGTCTTCATCACAGGATAAGAACCGACACTACCCTCTAGCTCTAACATTGGGGCTTAAATTGCTCTACAGTCTGACCCAGTTGAATTTGGGCCCTTTGTAGGGGTAATATATGAGGCTTTTTCTAATCCCACACTGTTCTAAATAAAATCAGCTCCTTTAGGGACAGCTTCAGAGCTTTTTTTTTTTTTAAAAAGATTTAGTGATTTATTTAAAAGTCAGAGTTACACAGAGAGGAGAGGCAGTGAGAGAGGTCTTCCATCCACTGGTTCACACTCCCCAATTGGCCACAACGGCCAGAACTGCACACCTATCGAAAGCCAGGAGCTTACTCCGGGTCTCCCATGTGGGTGCAGGGACCCAAGGACTTAGACCATCTTCTACTGCTTTCCCAGGCCACAGCAGAGAGCTGGATCGGGACTGGAGCAGCTGGGACACAAACCAGCGTCCATATGGGATGCTGGCAGGGCAGGCAGTGGCTTTACCCACTATGCTACAGCACTGGCCCCTAGAGCTCTGTTTCTAGATCCTCCATGTCTACTAAAATCTGAGTCAATGCTCTGGAGCTGGGGGTGAGGGCAGTGGCCTGCTCTCTAAGCAGAGCTCAGCTGGGGTTGTAGTCTCTTGTATTCCTGGCCTGCCTTGCCAGAATAGGGAACCACCACCTCCTGTGTGAAGTGGGAAGAAGGCCACAGGGCCCCACCAAGGGGAGTTGGGGTGTGGGGGAGAGGGTAGGGAGAGATGCACTCTCTTCTGGCACATAACTCTCAGAATGGAGCTTTCGCAGCAGAGTTGGAATGGAGAGGTGGGACAATAAGGAAAAGAATTGATTACGGCATAAATGTCACAGACTCAAGGTTCTTACAGATTTTCCCTAATTTTTTTTTTTTTTTTGAACATTTTAAAGATGGACTTACTAGAAAGGCAGAGTTGGGAGGGGGTTCTGGGGAGAGAGTGCGGTATCTTCCATTTGCTGGTTTGCTCCCCAAATAGCCGCAATGGCCAGGGTTGGGCCAGGTGGAAGCCAGGAGCCTGAAATTCCATCTGGGTCCCCTGCAGAGGCCCAAGGACTTGGGCCATCTTTCTCTGCTTTTCCAGGTACGTTAGCAGGGAGCTGGATCAGCTGTGGAACAGCCAGCCAGTACTCAAACGGGTGCCCATATGGGGATGCTAGCATTGCAGGCAGAGGCTTAACTCACTGCGCAACACCAGCACCATACTGAACGGCTCTTCACTTGCTCTATACCCTTAGGACAACTTAAGAGACAGTATTTTTAGTGTTGTCTTTCTTTTTTTTTACATTCTTCTCACCACACTGGTGTTAGCAGAGCTTCTCATGCAGCCATTCCAGATGTAACTTTTCCATTAAATAATTGGTGGTATTCTATAGTCCACCTCACCAAATGATGATGCTGTTCACATCCCTTAGGATACTTTTTTTTAAACTGAAATTTTGGTAACATGCAAAAAACTATGAATTTAGAAAAGAATGAAAATTCTCAACAGATGCTTAAAAATATTTATCATTCAGAAAAAAATCTCAGTAGAAAAAAGCCATATCCAAGATGAGAAAAGGTATCAAGGCATGGAATTGTATGACAGTATTACTTTAAGCAAACAACGTAATTATAATCACTTTTTTGCTTATTCGTAAATCACCGTGTTTGCTCTTCGGTATTTTTCTTTCATGTCAATGACTGTATTTCGACACAGAAGACTACAAGAACCCATTTATTCCATACTGAGACCTTGTCCCTGTTAGTTTCAGACTGAGCTCCACCATGCTGGAACAGGACCTATTTTAGCCTAAATGTTCTACTTTCCTTGGCAATGTTACAAACAATAAAATACATCAAATGAATTTTAAAACACTCAACAAATGTTACATCTCAAATCACAAAAAAGCGCCTGCACCTCAAATTCCTTATGCTAAATTATGATAAATTATTTAAACGGAAGCAGTTGGTGTGCATGCTGCTTGTTCAGTTCTCTCCAAGTGAAAAATTAAGTCTGTTATGAAAAGAAAGCAGTTCCAGATTAAATAATAAGTCTAAGATGCTAATTATGATTAATACTTTTATATCCTAATCTGGATTCTCAGTTCTGGGGACACACACACACACACACACACACAATCTTTCATGTAGAAAGACAAAAATTTAGGTTGAAGACAAATACTTGGCAAAGTATCTACCCATGTATCTTCCAGAAATTGCTAGAGAGATGAACAGCTACGAGTTCCATAAATAACCAGTGAACATGCATTCAACTGAGTTAGTTCTAAATGTTGCTAGTAGACTATGTGACTTCACGTAATCTTCTTATCATTATTTTCTATTTTGAGACACTGGTTCCTAAGATATCAGGAATCAAAGTACTATCCATGGCAGTGTGGCAGTGAATTACAATGAAAACGAGGTCTACAAAAGACACAAAATGGTTCCACATTTTAATACTGTCTTGAAAGGTCTGTTACTCTTCAACTACCTCAGTGCATTTATAAAAGTGACAGAGTTGGAATAGTTATTCTAAATCTAAGTAGGTTACTTCTATTAGCAGTATTTGTTTACTCAGAACATATTTCCATTTCAAATATATGTAAAATTTCTCACAAAGTCAGAACACAACTCACAGTCTGAACAGAAACCTCAGTGTTTAAATCTCAACATTCAGCAAATAAACATCATACATAAGGCTGCTTCTGAATACAAATCACTCATTCAGATAAACGGGGTACAATTTCTAACTTGTTAGAAGAAATGATTTTTTTGGTGAAGTTTTGGCTAAAATCAATGTTACTGAAAAATTAATATAAACAAACCAAACTCTAGTACCACATTTGTTAAAGCTTTGGACACAGATATCACCTCAGGAGGGAGCTGGCTGTCCTTTACCTAGGGGTCATTACAGAAACAAGCGTCGTGGTCAGGCCCTAGCTTTACTACTCACTGACAACAAAGCCTCATTTTGTTTACTGAAGGATTTTTCCTTCACTGAAGACACACTTCTAGCTTAACAATGGGGAAAAAAGACAGGCCTACTTTAAAAAAATCTGTTCTTCATAAAGTTACTTATTAAGTAGATGTTCATTTTCTGCTGCAAAGACACTCAAGTCTTTTCAAGTACTGACTTGCTGATTTGACAACTGACTCAGAATGGTAAATGAAATCTCCTGACTTCACCTGTAAGAATCTGTGAGTATAGGTATGTATATACTTATATATCTTTTGACGTTATGCCCGTGATCTGATCCTTCTTGATTTAAAATATAACTAAATTTCTCAATAAACAGCATGAATTTTAACTTTTAAACTTAAAACTTACTGCACTGTTCTCATTTTTTTTACTTTTACATTATTTCTATAAATATTCTAGAAAACAAAAATCCCCAATATTGAAACCAACTTACATTGGCAGTTTGAGGCTAGTTTATAACTTCAAAGATATTTTGTTAAAATGTAAAAACCCTGAAATTACAAACAAAAACCTTACAATTTTACAGTATATATCTAATTTATTTTTTTAAAAAAATATTCTGAATTGCTTTTATACAAATAATCAAGTGTTATTTTTTTCAAAGGAAACTCCTTTACAGGCTAAAAGAGGGTGTGTGGTGTTGCCCCATTAAAAACTCAACGCATGTCTCTTGCTCATGCCGGCACTTCCACTATCTCAAAGCAGTCACTTGGCAGAATCACGTAGCCTCTCTCCGACGAGTCGTCTCTCTCCTTCTGGAAGTGCACGACCTCCCTCAGCTTTTCAAGCTGCCGCTCTTGTCTTCTGCATCGCTGCTGTGCCGTCTTGAGCTTCTTCCTGAGTTTCTCGACCTGCTGTTCCAGTTGCTGAATCCTTTTCCTCTGGTGCATCGTGTCCTCCACGGTGTAGTTGTGGTCACAGAAAACCGAGAGGTTGTCAGGGGTCTGCAGAGGAGGCATCAGCAACCCAATAGCAGCATCCATCTGGGAGATGGGCGGTGTTAAAGGAGCTGGAGGCAGCTGCTCCTGTGAGCCCAGCACATCTTCCTTCTAGAACAATGAAGAACAGCATGTCTGAACTTAGTAACTGACAGTGCAAAACAACTCATCTGTGGAAGTTAGGAAATAAGACGTTTTTGTGATTCTGTGGCACAGAAACATCCAAGTAGTTTCATTCCGAAATAAACTTTCCAACTTAAGGAGAAATGGTAAGCAAGAAAGAGAGAAAATGGTGACACATTGAAATACCAAGCACTTAAAACTAACGAGGAAAATACTCTGAAACCAAAATGTCACAGATAAAGAAAAATCAAAACTTATCAACAGGTGCCAGGGCTATGGTGCAGTAGGTTAAGCCTCTGCCTGTGGCGCTGGCATTCCATATGGATGCCGGTTCAAGTCTTGGCTGCTCCACTTCTGATCCAGCTCTCTGCTGATGGCCTGGGAGAGCAGTGAAGGATGACCTGAGTGCTTGGGCCCCTGTACCCACGTGGGAACCGGAAGAAGCTCCTGGCTCCTGGCTTTGGACTGACCCAGCTCCAGCCATTGCAGCCAATTGGGGAGTGAACCAGCAGATGGAAGACCTTTCTGTCTCTCCCTCTCTGTCTTTAACTCTGCCTCTCAAATAAATCTAAAAAACAACAACAACAACAACAAAAAACCAACTCATCAACATTCAAGGAGGGGCACAGAGTGATCTTTAAATAAGTGCCAAAGTTGTATGGAGTTTTTTAGTGTGGAGATAACTTAATGGGCTGTATTCCTTTTTCTTTTTTTTTTTTAAAGAAAGTATTGAGGTAGATATTTGGTCTGGTGGTGAAATGCTCACGGGGGTTGGGTACCCGCTTGCGGATTCTGACTGCAGCTTCCTGCTAGAGCAGACTCTGGGAAGGATGGCTCAGGTGGCTGACTTCCTGACAGCCACACGGGACACCCAGATTCGGTTCCTGGTTCCTGGCTTCAGCTTCAGCCCAGCCACAAATATCAAGGACATCTGAGGAGTAAACCAGCAAATGCAGGCACAACATATGTTCTTTCTGTCTCTCAAGTAATTTTTTTAAACAAGTGTATCACTGTTGGGCCGGCACTGTAGCGTAGCGGGTAAAGCTGCCTCCTGTAGTACCGTCATCCCATATGGAAGCCGGTTCGAGTCTCGGCTGTCCCACTTCCAATCCAGCTCTCTGCTATGGCCTGGGAAAGCAGTGGAAGATGGCCCAAGTCCTTGGGCCCCTGCACCCATGTGGGAGACCCAGAAGAACCTCCTGGCTCCTAGCTGCGGATCAGCATAGCTCCAGCCATTGCAGCCAACTGGAGAGTGAACCAGAGGATGGAAGACCTCTCTCTCTCCTCTCTCTGTGTAACACTGACTTTCAAATAAATAAATAAATCTTTTTAAAAAAGTTTATCACTGTTAACAGTATTATCAGTGATAAGTCCTGGGTACATTTATTTTCTTAACAACACCCTAATTTTCCAAATATACTATAATGAACACATTAACATGATAAACAGAAAACAGTATTTTAAAACACATATTACCTTGTCATGTGGTTCAATACAAAGAAATATCGTGGGAACAGCATTCTCCTTCAGTAACTTGTTGTTGCACTCCCTCTTAAAGCAGTCTGGGGTAAAGTGCTCTGAACAAATGCTGCTGTACTTGGTGGGCTTAAAGTTTTTTCTTCTGACAGCCGCCTCCCATTTTTTACAAAGACTGGGGCGAGTAAGTGGAAACCTAAGAAAAAGACACCATTCAACTCTCTGACCTCATTAAAAACAAAAACCCAAAACCAAAGCCACCTAAACTTTCCTAGTTAGAAAAAGCTATGTCACATTGGGCTTAACATACTAGAGAGTGTGATTAAGCACTAGCTCCAACTACCTGTTTTCCTCACTTATTAATCTTCAACTTTTTGTACTGAGGACACTGTAAGATTCAAGTGGGGCCAGCACTGTGGCACAGTAGGCTAAGCTTTTACCTGTGGCACTGGCATCCCGTATGGGCACGGTTTGAATCCCGACTGCTCCTATTCTGATCCAGCTCTCTGCTAATGGCCTGGGAAAGCAGCAGGTGATGGCCCAAGTGGGTGGTCCCCTGTACCCACGTGGGAGACCCAGAAGAAGCTCCTGGCTCCCGGCTTCAGCCTAGCCCAGCTCCGGCTGTTGCAGCCATTTGGGGAGTGAACCAGCAGATGGAAGACATTTCTCTCTCTCCCTCTCTGTAACTCTACCTCTCAAATAAATAAAATCTTTAGAAAAAAATGTCAACTAAAATATATACTACAGAATGAATCTCTGTTCATATTTTTACCCAGTAATTTTCCGTATGCTGCACAGAAAAGCAAAATTTGCACATTCACATCCATGTACTTTGGAAAAGAGGATTCTAGTTCTCTCAGAGTAAACGTGAATGAATCAAACTATAGGCAAATGATAAGGAAATTATTTTATCTTAATCAACTGGGATATGTCCATCAAGTGCAGTTAAGAGTTTAAATTTAGGGGCTGGTGCTGTGGTGTAGTGGGTACAGACACCACCTGTAGTGTCGGCATCCCATATGGGTGCCGGTTCGAGTCCTGGCTGCTCCACTTCCAATACAGCTCTCTGCTGTGGCCTGGGAAAGCAGTGGAAGATGGCCCAAGGACTTGGGCCCCTGAACCAGCGTGGGAGACCTGGAAGAAGTTCCTGGCTTTGGATCAGCTCAGCTCTGGCCGTTGTGGCCATCTGGGGAGTTGAACCAGCGGACTGGACTGGAAGACTCTCTGGTTCTACCTGTCTCTGTAACTCTTTCAAATAAATTTCTTAAAAAAAAAAAAAAAAGAAAGAAAAATGTCTGCTGCAAAAGGCCTCTGAAGTACCAACTCTTGCAGCAAGTGCTTGTAAAAAACTCAGTATGCAGGACCTCTTCTCCCAAGGACTACACATTCTCAGGTGTCTGTGAGGTTTTGGCAGGCTCTTTCCCATCTACGCTCCTGAAACCTGCTCCTTTAGAAAGCAGTGAGATGAGGCTAGCCCTTCTTTGGAGTCAGTGAGCAGAAACACAGCGTTCCTGGTGTGCGAATGTCATGCTGAGCTAGTTTCCAGTGCCTGTGAAGCGCCTGCCTTGGATTTCAGATTTGCTCTGCCACCCGTTTCGAAGGGGGCCAGGGAGATGGGGAGCTGAATGCACAGGACGCTGTTACCATCCGCTGATGTAGCCTCTGGGAGTCCTTCACTTCTCAGGCATTCTAACAGACCCAGCAGTTATACTAAGACGTATGGAGCCGAATCCTGGGTTCCAGACCCTTCTCCAAGAAGAACAGCAATTCCGGAGGTCTCCATGCTCTACCCACTCTTATTTCTCCAGGGTTCATCTCACATTACATCAAACACGTTAAACACACAAGGCTGGTGCTGTGGTGTAGTGGGTTACACTACTGCCTGTGAGGCCAGCATCCCATATGGGTGCCGCTTTGAGTCCTGGCTGCTCCACTTCCAATCCAGCTCCCTGCTAATGCGCCTGGGAAAGCAGCAGAGGATGGTGCCTGCCACCCACATGGGAGACCTGACCGAGGTCCAGGCTCCTGGCTTCTCTGGCCAGAAGTCTTCCCTGTCACCTGCCTTTTAAATAAACAAATGTTTTAAAATATAACAATGCCCCAACACTTAACATTTTGCTTGGTAATTATTCATCTATGAGTAATTCATATAATTTACCACTGGATCCATTTGTAAACAATCAGGCTGAATGAAAATGCCATTGTATCTCCTTTTGCTGAGCATCTGGTATCCTTAGGTAATCCAATGCTGCAGTTTTGTGTGTTTTTTTGTTTTTTATAGATTTATTTATTTATTTGAAAGAGTTACATAGAAAGAGGAAGGAGAGGCAGAGAGAGAGAGAGAGAGAGAGAGAGTGTGTGTGTGTGTGTGTCTTCCAACCGTTGGTTCACTCCCCAGTTGGCTGCAACGACCGGAGCTGCAGTGGAAGCCAGGAGCCAGGAGCTTCCTCCAGGTCTCCCACGTGGGTGCAGGGGCCCAAGCACTTGGGCCATCTCCCACTGCTTTCCCAGGCCATGGCAGAGAGCTGGACTGGAAGCGGAGCCCATATGGGATGCCGGCACTGCAGGCAGCGGCTTTATGCCACAACCCAACCTCTCAGCTTTTTATTTTCAAAAGTCTATTCCCCTACCCCCAGCTGTAGCAGTGGAGCCACAGGACCAGCGGGGTAAAACAGCCCTGAGTTTATGGCCTCCACCATACTAGGAGCTCAGGGAGAGCAGGTCTTCTCTCGGCACACCCACAAGCTGTCTCAATCTTTGGGATCCTTAAGGTTGGGGCGTAGGTTTGCGAGAAAAAACACCTCCCTGATATCCTGGCCCAAATAAACTCTGAATTTCTCCCTTCCTAAAAGAGCAGCTTCTCCCGGCTGCTCCACTTCCCACCCAGCTGCCTGCCGGTGCACCCAGGAAGGCAGCCCAGGATGGCCCAGGTCCTTGGGCCCCTGCCACTCACATGGGTGACCGTGGGGAGCTCCTGGCTTTGGCAGCCATTTGGGGAGTGAACGAGGGAATGAGGGACCTCTCCCTCCCTCTCCGTGGCTTTCAAATAAACAAATCTTTATAAATATATATGTGTATGTATGTATATATAGATATTATATACATATATATATACATATATATATATATATACACACACACATACACATATACATACATACAGAACAGGGTTGGGGGAGGGCACGGGGAAGGCCTTCGCTCCTATCCCATTCAGCCTTCCGCGGTCGCCACCATCCGCCCTCCGCAGGCGCGGAACTCGCTAAGCCCACGTCCGGACGCGCGAGGAACCGCCGCTCGGCCGGGAACGCCCCCGGCTCCCGGCCCGAGACCCCCGCCCCGCCCTCGCCCCCGCCCCTCTCGTGAGGTCTCGCGCGGACACGCGCCCGGCTCCGCCCCGCGCCCAACCGGCCGCGCGCCCCCCACCCCGGCTGGGGCCGGCCCCGCGATGCGCGCAGGGGGACTTACTTGTGGAAAGACACGGGCTTGTCCTTGTCGTACCGGTTCTTGCAGCCGTAAGCGGAACACGACTGCACCATCCTTCCGGTCTCTGTCCCTTCACTTCTGCCGCCCCTGAAGGCAGGCGGAGCTGCTCCCGATGTCGCAGCTCTCGGTGTGGACGCCTTCTCCTCCTGTAGCTTTGGTCAACGGTTACAGAGAAGACGGTTTCACTCGGGGAGGGGTGGTGGTGACTACCGCGCCCGTTGTGGAGTTTGCATTAGCAGAAGGGCCACAGCCATCGCCCCTCTCCCATCTCCAAGATGGCGGAGGCAGCTTCAAACTCACCTCTCGCGAGGAGTTCTTCCACCGTCTCCGAGTAGCCTCTGAGGTCAGAGGTAACGTTTTTCTAGGAAGCAGGCCATTGGCTGAGGCCGAGCGTTTCCTGCGTCGTGGGGCGGGGCGGTGGCTAGGCGTTCCGGAAGGAGGCGGGGCTTCAGAACTTGGGTCTAGGCCGGGACTGCTAGGGGAAGGCGAAGCTCCCAGGGCCAGCCCTGCGCCGCGGGTGGTGCTCCCCGGAGTTCTGTACCCCGAGTTTTCCCCGGGCAGCCTTGAGTGGGAAGCATACAGCGTGTGGGGTCAGCTGTCAAGCTGAGCCAGCCCGCTCTCCCAGGTCGCCGATTGGATTCCGGTGACATCTCAGCTGCCGAGACGGTAGCGCGCAGTGTCCCACTGCACAGAGGCGTTGCCTCTTTATCCCCTGCCCCCTGCAGATCCGGCGAGCGGACTGCTGATTGCGTGATTCGGACGCTCTGCTTTTTTCTGCCCCCTGAAACGTGGGCGTTTCCGGAACTCTAGACAGCTTGCTAGTGATTCCCAGGTCGTCTGTTAACTGTCTGCATCTGTCCTGCTTCCCGTATTACCTGCGAGTCGTTAGTCCGACGGCTGTCTATACCAGAGAGTCTTCAAACGCCTTGATGACACCACGTTAATTTTATAGAATCCGTACACGCCTCTTAAGTCCATTCCTTTTTCATCTTTAACTCCTGTTCTTTTGAGTCCTTTATTTTTAAAGTATTTTGTTTGAGAGGGAGATCAAGTGATCTTTCATCTGCTGGTTCACTTCTGAGAAGCCAGGAGCTTCTTCCGGGTCTCTCTTGTGGGTGCAGGGACCCAAGGACTTGGGCCATCCTCCACTGCTTTCCAGGCCACAGCAGAGAGCTGGATCGGAAATGGAGCAGCCGGGACTCGAACCGGCGGCCATATGGGATGCCGGCACTGCAGTGGCGGCTTTGCCCACTGTGCCGCAGCGTCGACTCTTAGCTCCTGTTCTTGATCAGACCCTCACCGTGGGTGGAACCCCCTGACTTTGCCATCTGCAGTCCTCATGGAAGCCGACACTCCCCTGTGCTTCATCAGTTTATTCGTGTTTTGAACAAAATCCCGATGTCTTAAGGTCAGCCACAAAGCCCTCTAGGACCAGGCGCCTCTGCTTTTCCAGCGTCTCCTTCTTAAGCTCTGCTGCAGCTGTAGGTCTTTAATAGGCAGGCTCTCCGGTGCCTCCCACAAGAAGCCTGTTTTCCTGGGCTTCGCGTGCTCCTGACCTCCTCAACCGAGGCAACTCTCTTGTTCCAGTGAAGCCTTGCACTCGTTTCTGTGAACAGTCTTGAACCGCTCCGCAGTGTCCGGTACATAATCTGCCGTCCTCCTCAGCGCTGAGACGCTGCTGACGGGGATTGTGTCTCATCTCACACAGTAACCACAGCGGCTTGCAGTATCTGACACAAGTTAAGGGTTGTTTTTTTAAGACGTATTATTTATTTGTAAGGCAGAGTTAGAGAGAGCGAGCATCCATGCGGCTGGTTCACTCCCTAAATAGCCGCACGACCAGGGCTGCAACAGGCCAGGCCAAAGAAAGGAGCCAGGAGCTTTCTCTAGGTCTCCCATGTGGGTACATGGTCTTGGGCCATCTTCCGCTGCTTTCCCAGGCACATTAGCAGGCAATGGATTGGAAGTGGAACAGCGGGGACTGGAACCGACACCCATATGGGATGTTGTCACCACAGGTGCCAGCTTTGTGCACGGTGCCACAGCGCCGGCCCCATAAGTTAAGAAAAGGTTGGTATATGTGCTTGGCTGAGGAGCCAGTAGGACGAAGCTACCATCTGTGGGATTATGACTGAATGCCTCTAAGTCAGAATCCCACCCAGGCTGAAGGAGCCCCAGCTGGCCTTGGATAGCCGCATGTGACGCCTAAACCAGTTGGGTCCCTGGCACCCATGTGGGAGATCCTGAGTCCCTGCTGCGGCCTGGCCCAGCTGTGGCTGTTACAGGCATTTGGGGAAGGAATCGGGGAATGGGAGTGTTCTCTGTCTCTGCCTCTCAAATAAATATGAACAGATCAATGACATCGGTTTGTAGCACATTTTTAACAAAGGGTTTGGGGTGGGGTGTGATTTGGGAGGCTGGGTCACTGGCTGTGGTGTGGCAGGACAGGGGAGGGCAGAGGAGAGCTTGGTTGACAGAGGTGGGATGCACGGGGCTCTGCAGGCTGTCCCTGGCTTTCCCTCAACCAAGTTCTTGTCTTCATTCCCTTTTGATGTCTTTAATCTTCTACCTTTCTATAGCTTGGGAATAAAATAATGCATCTTTATTATCTGTTGAATGTAATTCTATTTCCTTATTTCAAAATGGTAGATTTACTGGTATGGTGAATTGCAAATAATCTTTCAAATGTATTTGTTAAACTAGTTGAGTTTTCCTTTGTAAAACATCTCCAAAGCAGAATTTTCACTGTGTGGTCTGCAAATGAATTTATTAAACTATCTTCACCTTGTATAAATTCACTCAGCACACCCATTGTTAGTTTTCCTGCTTTCTACTTTGCCCGTTCCTAGATTTTCTAAGGATGGGGTAACTTCTTATTTGCCAAAGCACATTGCAGGAGAGCATGTTTATTTTTAAAGATATTTTCCTGCTTTTTAAAAAGTTTATGGAAACAATCCAAATGTCCATTAATAGCTGAATGAGTAAATTGTGGTAGAGTTCACAATGGAATACTACAAAGCTGTCAGAATTTTTAAAACCACAACCCACAACAATATGAATGATTCTTACACACATGTTGAAGAAATACACAAAAGAATATTTTTTTTTTTTGTAAAAAAGATAGGTTAAACTAATGTCAGTAGACTTACTTCTGGGGAAAGAAGCAATGAAATGGGTGCTGGTCACACAGTTCATTAATTGAGTATCTGATTTGTGGTTTATAAAATGCTATTTGTTACATTTAATAAAACAGTTTATTTGAGAAGGGCTACACAAATGTTCATAATTTTCATTTTTTCTTAAAGAACAAGAGAGCTGTAGGCTCACTTGCTGTCTTCATTTGCCCTTCAATGAATGTCAAAAATGAATATATACCTTAGCGTTATATCATGGCCATTTAAGGGAAACAGAATACATTTTAAAATGCTATTTAGAGGCTTGATATTTTTCAGCCTTAAGAGGCCAAGAGCTAGTTCATCTACCGACAGAACTTTTTTTAAAGGAAAAATAAAACATACCCTCAAGATTAAAAGGCTGTTTTGTCATGATTATTATAGATGGGTAACCCTTGTCTGAAGAAAAACCAGCTTTTTTCAATCCAAGTGCTCCGTGCTGGATATCTGTGGTTAATTCCCATGCAAAAGTCTAACCCACAAAGACAGTATTTAGAGGTGGGGCCTCTGGCAGGTGGTGAGATGAGGGTGGAGCCCTCGCAAATAGGATTAGGCAGAAGTAGGACAGAGACCTGACCATTCTGGCATGTAGATATAAATTGCTATGTTATCTCTAAAGGCCTACTAGTTCCTATTTTGGTATGAGTATCAGGAATTTTTAGTGGGCTTTTTTTTTATTAAGATTTACTTATTTTACATGAAACACAGAGTTACAGAGAGGCAGAGAGACTTCCTTCCGCTGGTTACTCCCCAAATGGCTACAAAGGCTAGAGCTGGGCTGGTCTGAAGCCAGGAGCCAGGAGCTTCTTCTGGGTCTCCTATGCGGGTGCAGGGGCCCAAAGATTTGGGCCATCCTCTACTGCTTTCCCAGGCCATAGCAGAGAGCTGGATCGGAAGTGGAGCAGCCGGGACTCGAACTGGCACCCACTTGGAATACTGGCACTGCAGGTGGCAGCTTTACCCACTACACCACAGCGCCGGCCCTGAATTTTTAGTTTGTAAAAAATCATTTTTTAAAAAGATTTATTTATTTGAAAGGAAGAGTTACAGAGAGGCAGAGAGAGAGGGAGAGAGAGAGAGGTCTCCCATCCGCTGGTTCACTCCCCAGATGGCTGCAACAGTTGGAACAGTGCTGATTTGAAGCCAGGAGCCAGGAACTTCTTCCAGGTCTCCCACACGGGTGCAGGGACCCTTGGGCCATCTTCTACTGCTTTCCCAGGTCATAGCAGAGAGCTGGATCAGAAGTGGAGCAGCCAGGAATCAAATTGGCACCCATATGGGATGCCGGCGCTGCATGAAGCGGCTTTACCCGCTATGCCACATACCAGCCCCTAAAACAATTTTAAAACTAAAATGTAAATAGTTTCATGTCAGTGACTTTAAAACATCTTTTAACTCTTAACCTTTTCCTTTTTTCACATAATACAGTCCCTCTAAAGACCTAAACTGGGGCTGGTGCTGTGGCGTAGCAGGTAAAGCCGCCGCCTGCAGTGCCGGCATCCCATATGGGCGGCCAATTAGGGAGTGAACCAGTGGATGGAAGGCCTTTCTCTCTCTCTCTCTCTCTCCCCCCCTTTCCTTCTCTGTCACTCTGACTTTCAAGGTAAATAAATAAATATTTAAAAAAAAACAACTTAAATATACAATCAAAATAA